AGGAAGGACCTGGGTCTAGCTGCAAACCATCCAATAACGTCTATTCCTGAAGATGACTTTCTGAAAAGTCTAGACTATTTGGGGAACTTGTGCATTAGGCATCAAAGTTAAGCGAAGCTGTGAAAACACCTATGTTAAAGTCAACTACTGAACCCGCTGTTTAATAAAAGTGTGTATGGGTTAAACAGAACAAACTCAACTGAACAGCAGAAGCTGCTGGAAGGGAGACAACGTCCAAACTATACCAATAAAATCAAACTCTCCTTTAAAACCTAGTTATATCTCAGGGCGTCCCAGCAAGAAAGGCGTTTACCACTCCACTGTAAAGAATTTCTTTAGTCTGAAGATGAGCTAAGCGCATTTTTAATTTTTCATTCCGTCACAAGGTCCTAAGATGAATGGAAGCAGGAAGTGTGGCTAGTAAGCCACCTTTGGAGTGAGACGGCAAGAGCTTGCCTCTTGTCTTTGGCACTGGTTGCTGGGGTGACCTTGTGTTACTTTTCAGTGACCCACTTGCTCCATCTGCAAAGTGAGAATGGTAATAATGTCCACCATGCTCCAGTACTGGCTTTCTGTAGAAATCAAATGTGCTAATGTGCATGAACCTCTTAGCGTGGCTGCCAACTAGAGTGAGCATCAGAGAACACAGAGATTGCTGTTAATATGGGAAATAATAACAATATAAAATAAGATAAAGGCTCTTTTTTCTGCTTGTTTGTTTGTTTTGTCCCATTCTGGTTCGTTTGTGTGTCTGTTTGTTTGTTTGTTTTTACCTTTCTTTTGGAAAGATTTTATGTGTGCAACTTTTACTCTATGTTGGGTAAATAAGTATAAAGCTTAGCGAAAATTAAGAAAAGTATGAAAAATGGCTAAAGACTGATTAGAAGCAAATTCTTCTGAGTACTGTCTCCAGAACTCACATATCCCAGGACACTTGCTCTGAAGATAACAGGAAAGTTGGAGAGGGTTGGCAGTTTGAACAGATGTTACCCTAGGTGGGTGGTTTGAACAGTAGACATAATTAGGTTTTGAAGGAGAGTTTGATTTTATTGGTAAAGTTTGGACGTTGTCTCCCTTCCAGCAGCTTCTGCTGTTCAGTTGAGTTTGTTCTGTTTAACCCATACACACTTTTATTAAACAGCGGGTTCAGTAGTTGACTTTAACATAGGTGTTTTCACAGCTTCGCTTAACTTTGATGCCTAATGCACAAGTTCCCCAAATAGTCTAGACTTTTCAGAATGTCATCTTCAGTCTAGTAGATGACTTCATGCTAAACTCCACCTAACTCATTCTTCCTCCAAATTAAAATGGGCCATGTGGAAAACTGAATGACTTTTTTGGTTCTATAGAAAATTAATTATATTATATAAAACATTAGTCTACTAGCCAGTCTTGTTGTGTCTCCAGGTGGTGGTGGCATATGCCTTTAATCCTTGCACTTAGGGAGGCAGAGACAGACAAAATCTTTGTGAGTTTGAGGCCAGCCTGTCTACACAGCAAGTTCCAGGAGAGCCAGGGCTACACAGAGGAACCCTGTCTCAAAAAAAATAGAGCTAAAGCTGTTTCTCTTTGTCTTCATGCCATCATTTCTTGACAAGGTATTGGATAATCTAAAATGATGAATTAGAGAGATAGATGCATACATACATACGTAGATAGATGACAGAAAGACAAAGAGAATACCTTACATGAGTTAACAGAAAGAACTCTCATTAATGAATGAAAATCCACATCCTCCTTCCTTCTTTTGTTGGTCAGTGAATAACACATAAGTGTGTTGTTTCAGTTAGAAGCTACAGTGCCAAGGGCAGGCAGGGTATGAGGCTATTCCACTCTCTGACTCTCTGCAGCCCAGCATTTGTTAGCTTTGACCCGTTTCAGGATTCAGGAAGAAGTTATAGGCATACGTCTCAGAACACTACACATTTCCCCCTTTCCACTAGGTTTGGCATGGAATTGTTCCAAGGAGTTTGTGCGGACTCTTGTTTTCTCATCATCAGCTTCCTTCTAACCCCACTCTCACTCCCACTGGGGTCCTCCATGCACAACGTGTACTCAACACAAAGAGGCTTTCCCATACTGGCCTTTTCCTCTGTCCCCAAAGGGTCCTGTGCTGGAAAGTCAATCCCCAGAGTGCTCCTATGACAAGGTGGTAGAACCGTAAGGAGATGAGACACATTGGGAGGTGAGCAGGTCACTGAAACTCCCCAGAAGGGATCAGTTCTGGTTCTTTAAAAAAAAAAAAAAAAAAAAAAAGTCTTAAAAAGAGTGAGTTGTGAAAAGAATAAGACTGGCCTCTCTTTACCTTTACTTCTGTCTCTCCATGTGATCTCTCTCCCTCACACCTTCTCTCATCATGACACCATACTGTGACAGTGCCGTGAGCGTCTCCTCACACTGGCTAAGCAGATCTTGGGTTTCCGCCTCTAAGATTATGATGGAAACTTTGTACCTTTATAAAGTTCCCAGCCTCTAGTATTTTATTTTAACAAAACTAGTGTAACTATGTATTAGCTACTTTTCTGCTGCTGTGATAAAATCCCATAACCAAAAGCAACTTAGGGAGGAAGGGGTTTGTTTTGGCTTATGGTTACAAAGGGATAAATAGAGTCTATAATGGCAGGGAGAACATAACAGCAGGCAGGCACAGTGGCAGGAATAGGAAGCTAGCTGGTCACATTTTCATCAAGACAGCTCTCCCTCCCCATAACATACTTCCATCAGCCAGGATCTTCCTCCTAAAAGTTCCACATCTTTCCCAAGCAGTGCCACTAATGGAGGACCAAGTGTTCAGATTCTTGAGCCTATTGAGAGCATTTTTCATTCAAACCACCATGCCACAGTTTGTTTGTTTGTTTTTATTAATGGCAACAAGTCAGCCATTTGTGGAAACCAGGAAACATCAGGAAAATTTTCCCACTCTTAAGTGTCACACATTGATTAAGAATATGGGCTCAGCCACTTGCATGCCAGCTCTCTCTGAGTATCAGCTGGGATCCTTTGAATTCTTCTGTGTATGCTAGACACATCCCTTTCTAGTTTAACTTTCCCTCCCCCTTCCAAAAACAATTTTCTTGATTATCAACATTGACAAGTATCTCCTTATTTCATAGGCATTTGGATAGCTATGGCTTAAAATAAATAGATATTTGTAAATATTGACAAGGATGTGGAGAAACTGAAACCCTCTGAGTGTTGGTGGGAAAGCAGTGAGTTTTTTGGAAAGCAGTGTAGATCTGGCATTCTTCAAAAGGTTAGCACAGAGTTGCCAGTAAGTGCACACAAGAGAAATAAAAGTGCATGTCCACATGAAAACTTGGCTGTGCAAAACTACCAGCATTATCATGATAACAGAGAGACAGACACAACCTAAGCACCTGCCAACTGAAAAACTTTATTTTCCTTCTAAAGTTTCCAGGCTTGAAAATCCTGAGTACCTGAACAGACATGTGAGCTGTAGTATATCCATACAGTAGAATGTACTTTAGCCATGCAGTAAAAAGAAATGAAGAGGTGAATGAATGAACCCTGAAAACAAGGCGAATGCAGGAAGCCAGCTGCAAAAGGCCACATATTCTATGGTCTGTTGAAATGTCTGGTCTGTGAATCCATAGAGACAGAGAACAGACTGGTGGACACAAAGAGAAGAATCCAGAGTACCTGTGACAGGTTTGGAGTTCTCTGTTGAGGTGATAAAGATGTGCAAAACTTGACTGTGGAGTTTGGTTGGAGTCTGTGAATATAAAAGAAAGCTACTGGGTTGTGGACACTTTAAATGGAGAAGTACATGGTATGTGAATCACATGTCAATAAAGTTGCTGTCAGGGTTACAGCCTAGGTCAGGGTGTGGATTAGGCTGCCTGTGTCTGATCACTGACTGCTCTGGTGAAGGAAGGAGGATGATGGTAATGAACAAGTTCCTGTGTGGCAACTGGGGCTCGGGACTGCTGACCCCCTCAGAATCTCAGTGGAGGCCATCACTCAGAATTATTCCCATAAGAGGAGAGAAAGCAAGCGGGGGTTGTTTCTGTGAATACATAGTACCCAGCACTTCTAGCCTTCCCGTGTGAAGAAGGCCCATCAAGCTGCTACAACAGAGAAAGCCTAGACAGGAAGAGATGGATTCAGAGACAGACAAAGGTAGGCAGCGGGCAGGTGTCCAGATAGACAGCAGAGCACACAGGCACTACCAACAGGTGAGGCCTGGGTGACGGAGTGGACATGGCAAGTCATGGCAGTGCCTACTCACTCACAGGAGTCCCTAGTCCTACCTTTCAGTGTCCTCATGCTCTAAAGGGGAGGAATTATACCTGTGACTTCACAGGATCACATGAGAGGTGATGAGTTGGCATCTATGAACCAAAGCTGAATGTTCTCAATGTGTCCATTGATCACTTCTCTTCTAAGTGGGTGCGTAAAAGAAGAGTGGTCAATCAGTGAGAGTGATTTCATCTTTGGGTTTTAGTTGTTGTTTTGTTTTGTTTTTACTAGCTTAAGCTGTATCCCTTTAAATGGTCCTGGCATCTTGTTTAGCACATTCAGCCACATTGAACTCACCCATCCTTGCTGGTTCCACTCTCATTGTGGCTCTGTCATCTTCCTCCATCTTGCTACCAGACCTTTTGGGAACTGTCAGTGGAGTCCAGACAAAGGTTTCATCACAGCACTCACTTCCATTTTCCTTTGTGTTCCTCTTGGTTTCCCAAGGTTGTGTCTGAGGGTCGATGCTCCTAGGAGCCTGTTTCCCATGAAGCCTTTGCAGTCTAGTGACTGGGGTGAGTGGCTGTGGTGCCAGGCAATTCCGAGTCCCACTTCTATCAAAAGCATTCACACTCATCATATCCTATTACTCATGGATGACGAAACAGCCCAGTTAGTGAACAGCTAGGGGAAAATGGGGTTAAAGGAATTCTAGACTGTTACACTGAACTCAAGCTGTCAAGAGAAAAACTTAATTTAAGGATTTGCTCATTTATGAAAATATCTCTGGACTATTTCAGGCTGTGATTCTGCAATTAACCTGACATTTCCCAAATCCCAAATTGCTGTGAATGATGTCTTCATGGCTCTCCGGGAGATCGCTGGAGCTAGGAACCACATGAGACAGTTTAAGTCTGTGTATATTCCTGGAAATCATACCCATCAGGTGAGTGTACGTGAGTTCACTGCATGTTTGTCTTGCTGTGTTTTAGGACTCAGAGAATACAGGCCACAAGGAAGTTTCCCCTCTGCCCCTTTAGAATAAATAGTTCATTCTGGATGGAATCTCAAGTTCCATTTTAATGGACCATTTGGGGCTCCACTAAGTCTAAAAGCTTCTCAGTTCATTTGTGGCTCAGACAATGTAGCTGGTGGAAACAGCATTGGAAATCATCCATTTATAGCCATGTGTCTGTCTCAGCTATAGTCTGTAGCCTGAGGCAAGGTATTTCCTTAGGGTCCAACTGCTGTTGGTTCCAAATGAGAGACTGCCTTTACACAGTCGGAATTTACCACCTCTACCAGTTATTCAACATTATAAGCAACCAAAATAAAGCAAGTATTTAAAGAAAAAGGAAGTTGGTGACAGAGGGGACAACTGCTAATAAAATTTTCCTGCTGCTTTCTAAGGACAGTAGGAGAACATACAAAGAATGTTTTTACTGACCATTGAGTAGAAAGATGATATGACAACCCAAGATCAAAGGACAGGGGCTCTGAAACCCTGAATGGAAGACCATGCAAGAATTCCCAAGGGAACTACAAGGAGTCAAGGCACATGGTACTGTGGAGCCTGAGAGTTTCTCATGGTCAGTGTAGAGTCAGAACTAAGAATCCTGATGGCAATCATGAGCTTTCATAAAATATCAAGTATCGTTCATGGGAAAGATCACTGAGTATGGCTGTTGTAATCCTCTCCTCCCGGTCTCTGGTAAAATCTACTTATCTATTGTGGCTTCTTGGTTAGTTTAATGTGCCACGATAGGAAGCCATGACAGCATGAGGAACTCATCTCAGGGTGCTGACTGTTAAAGTGCATGTATAAAACTGTAAGTTTTATAAGCTAATGTTCCCATTAGAATACCCAGCAGAAACCTAATTCTATCTCCTGTGTGTTCCTACAGTAGCTGACCCTTGATGAACACTCCTGGCCTTACTCTCCTCTCTGCTTCACACAGTAAGGAGGCCAGAGAAGCATTGGCCTGAATTCTGAAAGGAAGTGTACATAGTAGCCACAGGCAGATGACAGTCTTTGCAGCCAACACAAAGCCTCCTCTATGTACCTTGGTTATCAGGAAGGTTCTAGAACTATTGATTAATGGTAATGATAATCATCCAAAGTCACCACCAAGATACCAAGACTATAGTGTTTGGCACTCAGCATCAAAACAGAGTTTCCCATCTTTTTTTTTTTTTAATCTGAGAACACCACCACCACAGACTATAAAGTCACTCAGAACACCAAACATATGTAATCTTATCATTAAAAAAAAAAAAATCATTTCAAAAAAAAGTACTGTTTTGTAGACTAGTTCCAAAAGACATGCTGAAACCAGTGTCACATGATGAACTTTAAACCAGAGAATGTCAAAAGGCGAATGGTTACACTAGTTTTCAAAGAAAAAAACCCACAAAATTAATGAGGTCTTTTCTACTTTATGACCATCGTGGGGCACCGACTTGGCCAACTTCACATAAACACACATTAGCTATAAATCATGGGTATGATAAGGATACTGATGAGCTACCCGGGCTCTGTCTCCCTACTGCCAGTGCTGTTGTTTCTCCAGGCCTCAGGACTATTCTGCAGTCATCATGACTTTCAGGAAATGAAGCTTTCCATGTTACATATACTTCCCCTCATAGTAAGCCAGTGACAACAACATACATAACAGAACTCCCTAACAATATTGGCAAGTGACAAATGGGGAGAAGTGGAGTAATGAATGAGCAACTGTGAAGATTTAATTAGTAATAATGTAAATGCAGTGAATTCTCTACAGCTGAAGAAAGAAAAATAAATGAAACAGAAGCAAGTTTACTGTCCATAAGCTTCCTTTGAATCCTTGTCTCAGGCTCTACTTCCTGGGGACTTCCAGCTTTGGGGGATAAAAAACATGATGGAGCTCTCTGTGAAACATTATTATAATTTTATAAACTATATAACAGAATACATAATAAAGAGTATATAGAAGTTTATGTTTAGTAAATCTTTTAAATTTTATGGGAAAATGTAATGAACAGATTTGTGGGAGGTGATAAGAGACTGAAGGACAAGAAAGAATGCTGTACCTCCTACTGTGTGACATCGGGCAAGTCACATCTCTGAGACCAAATCCTCCTCTGTTTACCCAGAGCAAACTCTGTAGACAGGATTATGGATCATTTTCACAAGTTTTTGCTTTTTCAAGTTGCCATTAATTTAAAGAATTTAAAGTTACAGCTGTGTGTCCAGTGAGGGACAAAGAATTCTGATGTGTTTTGTGTAGAAGGGTTCTTCTTCTAGGGTCCAAGCTCCTGGAATAATGACTCATGAGACTCAAAATATATTTACAAATACCTAAGCCATATAGCTAGGCTCTTCTTTGACTAGCTCATAACTTAAAATAACCCATTTATACTAATCTACATTCTGCCATGCAGCTGGTTACCTCTGCTCAGGTACCATGACTTTGTCCTCCTCACATCTTCCCAGCAAATCTCCACATCTGGCTCTATCCCAAAATTCTTTCTGCCTACCGGATGTCCCACTTTCTATTCTATCCTTTCCTATAGGCCATAGGTATTTTAATTGACAGGCAATGCATCTATACAATACACAAGACATTCTCTCTACAGTTTTGTTCACTGTCACACCCTGAGTGTCTACAGAGGTGGCTTATGCATAGGAGGTGCTCATTAAACATTTGTGGGGTGCATCTTCAGTGTAACCCATAGGCTTTATTACAGTCAGTAGCTATATCTGAATACAAAATGAGTATAAGTGGAAAGGTACAGGTATAGACTAGAGTCTGAGGCAAGCCATGCTAGCTTTGAAGATAGGATTTGGCAGGGTTTATGGTCTGGACTTCCATGTTCCCAAATGTGCTATAGACTTGATCCTCCACTGATGGTGCCACTGAGAGATAGGAACTTTAGGAGGTAAAGCCTCACTGAAGGAAGTAGGTCCTTGGGAATGTGCCCCACTCCACCCCCACTTTCTGGATACCAGAAAGTAAGTATCTCTTTCACCATACACGCCTGCCATAATGAACCACCTTACCACAAGCTGGAAAACAGCCGCACCACTCAGAAGCTGTGCACCCAACTGAAGCTTTCCTCCTGACTCCTCTCTGCACAGCAGCAGGAAGCTGGGTGATACACTAGGCAGGTTTCTGCCTGTTCCTTTTTCCAATTTTGAGTTTGGTCCCATGGCTTCAGGAAAAATGTGTGCTTTCCATAAGGAACATGTTATCACCTCACAGAATCTATTTGAGATGTCCCAACACACCTAGGACAGGATGAACCCTGGTCTTGTCCTGGATTCCTGTTCCTATCTGCCCTGCACTGTGCTCTGGCCTTGCTGCCCCAGGTCTAGAGGTACTGCAGCACCAGGCTCCTTCCTCATGCCTTCTCCCTTGCTCAGACATACCCATGCTAACTCTCTGAGTCATTCATTTCCCTGCTGGCATGGAGACACCTTTTACTTAATCGTTATCCTCTTCCCTTGGCTCAATTGTGGTTCATATGCAAAGTGCAGACAGCACTCCATTCGTTTGAAGGCAAACATGATTTATTAAAGAAACAATCAAATCTCTAGAAAAAGCAGAGGAGTTAGATCTGGGACATCCAGAAGTCCGGTGGAGTCAGGGCGAGATCCAGTCAGGACAGTGTGAGAAATGGGGAGCAGGAGGCTATTGCTAAAGGACAAGGAGGTTCCTGATGGCAAGAACATAGCACATGACCAGAAGCAGCCTCTCCTGCTCACCATGGACCTGTGGGGATTGCTTGTGCTTGCTCTTCTGGGTGGATAGGCAGGCAGCTGGGTAAATGCTAGAACCTGGGTTCACAGCCCAGCTATGCCTACTACTTACTGTGTGAGGTTAAGCAAGTCATTTTACTTCTTCATGGCAAATTCCTCCTCTGTAAGGATGCTCTCTCACAAAGGTGCCCTAAGAATTTGGAAAATTAATGCCAGTCCAATTCTTGTGATAGCCTCAGATACACAAATGGGACTTACTTTGTGAGTACTTGTGATAAAAAACATCAGGAAAAATAAAGAGCCTTCCAGAAGAGCAACATTTTTAGGTTAGAACATTGCTTTGAGCTGTAAATTTTTTTTCCCTCCTGTTACAAAAAACTACGAAGGCCTTTTTAATGGGCCCGTAAAAGTAATGTGGGCCTCTGATATTATCTATCCAATACCTAAAGAGTGCACTGGCTCTCTAGTCACAGACCACTAACACCAGCCTCCCCAGGACAAGACCATGGCCCTCCAGGAGGAAAACCAGTGCTGACATTTGCCTGTGTAGTAAGGTTGGGTTTAGGGATTGTCCCTGTAGGCGTCTAAGCTGCCCAGGTGCCTGGCCTGGGTCTTCACAATCTCCCATTTCTCATTGCACATTTTCCTAGGTTCCTTCCCACATGGTACCGGGTTTGATGTACTATATGCCTCAGCTCCAGCATCAGGAGGACATTAGCAAATGTCTCAGGGGCAAGGAGCTCACGGGCCTTTCCAGTCAAAAGTCATCTGCCTCCAGAATGATGACAAGTTGTTAGTGCATAAGTCTCTAAGAGGATCTGGAGCCAGTGCAACCAGATGTGGGCCTTCTTCCATGCCCCTGGCAGCTGAACAAGAGTGTCTCCTTGAGCCCCAGTGCCCAAGGAGACTGATTCATCTCCTGCCCAGGGAAACAAGGCTCTCTGAACAGTCTTTGGGCCCCATCTCTTTTGTCAACACTCTCCAGCTCTGGCCAACAGCTGTGCAAATCCTAAGCCAACCTGTGTTCTTCCTCCTAATTCTCTTAATAGCTACCCAACCCCAGACCTGCTCAACTGCCTTTTTGGGAGGAAAAAAAGAAATGGCACAGGACAGAACTAAACTGAGGACTGGAAAGCTTGACATTGTCCTAAAGACACTTCTAAGTGGAGTGTGATTTCAAGGAAACTCTTTAGCAAACTTGGCTT